CTCCTGGGCTTAGGTGATTCCCCTGCCTCAGCCTCCCAAGTAGCGGGGCCTATAGGCACCCGCCACAACACCTGGCTATTTTTTTGTTGCAGTTTGGCCGGGGCCGGGTTTGAACCTGCCACCCTCAGTATATGGGGCCAGCACCCTACCCACTGAGCCACAGGTGCCGCCCTGCACCATCCTTTATTTACCTGGTCACTTTGGAATTCATGAAGCACTGCTGTAAGGTGTCTGCCAGCCTCTGGTGCACCAAGGAGTAGCGAATAAATGCTCTTCCTTTCCCTAGAGATGTTCGGAGCTGGAAAAAGCAGGTTTCACAGAGATGAAGAGCTGTGAGCCTAATTCCAAATACAGACCTGTTCTCACGGATGGCTTGAGAAAAAAGAGGCAAAGGGCAGAATATGTCACCCAATTCTACCCTACACATGGCTTCACTCAGGTCCCTCTAAGGACACCAAAGATTTGATAATATCACTCCAGAGAATGAGGCTTAAAGTGGGTGAAATAGTCACAGGCCTTCAATCTGAGAATAATCGGCAAAATCCAGCAACTATGTCAGGGAAGATATATTAATGGGAGGCACTCAAGCTTCTGTGAATGCTATTGAAATGCCATTCTTCCTCCTCTGCTCCATCAGTCTCTGGGTTTGGAGTCAAATGTGAAACTTCAAGTAAAAGTTGGAAGTAAACAAAGGGCTTTTCACACCACCAGTGAGCTTGAAAAGGAAGAGACAACTCTCAGTTTAACTCATGCTGGTTTGTTTCAAAGGTGTTGGGAACGGGTGCAGGACAAGGAGCCTCCAGGGCTTGGCAGGAACAAGTATAGAAGGGGAGGGAGAGGGACAAAGCAGAGTAGTGTGAGGGAGACCTGTAAGGAGTGTTGCTAGGTATGTAACTGCCTCCTGTGTTCCCATAACATCGATAACATCCACCTATCTGTTGACACTTTCATGGATGGATTTGTTCTTTCAGATATGCCAAATCACTGCACCGAGGCAGATGTGCCCAGGGGTGAGAGCAGGGGTGTCTCCAGGCAGCCCGGTCACACGGGGGTAAGGATAAAATGCATACGAATCTGTTTCACAAGTCTGGGGTGGATGGCACAGCAGGGCCCAAGTGTAGGCCTGTCTTCAAAACCTCTCTCCACCGTCCCCACAACCACAAAACCATTGCCGAGGAAGGAAAAGACATGACTGGAACTGTTTTGAAGTTTAAATTTACCACTCAAAACATAATCTCTAAGAGGTTTCTGGAAACTTGTCGTGATGAAGATGGGATATGCTGGTCAGAGACTCGGCCATGACACTGCCAAAGCAGGGCTTTGCCAGCTGGGAGCACATGGTGGCCAAGACGGATAGAATAAAGGGGATGCCAAAGAAGACAGCTGGGACAAGTTTGCAAATTAGAATTCATACTTTTTTTTTTTGGAAACAGAATTCTGATGTTTCAGTCCTAGAAGCTCAAGAGAGTAGGCAGGAATTTAAAACCTCCTGATTATCACATGCCACTGCTCTATCAGGCTCTGGCTCTGCATCTGATAAGCCAGAACCAATACTCTCCTCACCCCCTCAAAGGTCAGAAATGTTTAACGAGTGTGTATGTAGCAAGGGATGGGTAGCAGTGGTCTAACCAGAGGGTCCCGATACTCCACACTCTTCAGACATCATTATGGCAGTGGACAGTCAGGAAATACCCAGTATGGCTTTAAGCACTGGCCCATGAGCGAGAGCATAAACATCCTGACACATAGTACCTTTTAGCACCTTCTTACTGCTGACTCAGGAAATGATACCACAACATGAAATGGTTTTAAAAATAAAAAGATACTAAACTTCTGAAACCACACAGGCTGTGAGCTATTTCCCATGTGTGTTTTGTGGGGAGGGCAGGATGCCTGGAAGTAAAGGTGGGTAGTCTGACTGACTAGCTTTCCACAGAACACCACGCCATGTCTACCTATAGCTGATCTCGACAGATACCCAGCGGAGGATCCTGATGACATTTTCATGTCCAAATACCTCTTCCTCTGATGAATGAGGTGAGAACAAAGTGTCCAGGTGTTATAACCAGAACCCCGAGGCAGCAAGCAACAGCTAAGCAAGGCATCTTGAAGTATGTCAATCAAATGCTCACTGCACTCTACACAGGCTCTGCAGAATTGCTAAGACCCTCATATAACAGCCCAGATGTGTAAGGTCCCAGAAGCAAGAGTTTCTCCTTATTTTTGGCAAATCTGCCTTACGATATTGCCTTTAAAATGTAAAACTTTTTCAAGGATAAATATGTGCAGCTATATTTTTAATCAAACCTATTAACTGAACTGATTATATAAAGGAAGATACTTATTTTAAAAGGTATTTTTAAACATCCTTTGGGGAAAGGAACAATAATAGTGCCTTTGTACTGAAAATCAAAATACTGCACAGCCTTTTTATGTTTTTGAGATCACTGGTCCGCTTTCATTACCTAATTCCTTAATTTTTTACCATATAATCGGAATCCACATGCATTACACTGGGAAGCAACATAACAGCAAGGCTGCAGGGCACACTGATTCTGCTTTGGGCCGGGCCCTCCCACTGTGAGCCTGATGCTGAGCTACTCTCCACCTGTTGCTGTGACACACCCTCCAAACTGTGCCTATTCTGAATGTGTGGAGTGGCTTATTACAACTTTTTCCCATTTTAGCTCAAATAGCTACCACCCACCCCAAAGGGGCCCCAGGGATTCTACAAACGCTTCTTATCCATTAACTTTTACCCTCTTGCTTGAAGGCCCAAGTGGCACTCAGTTATTAATGGAAATCCAAGTATCCAGCAACTCACTCAGACTAGGGACGTTAAAGCCATTCCAGCCAGTGATGCCCCAGAAAGCAGAGTCTTCAGCAGAGATGAAATGACTAGACCCCAAAGGAAGCAGCGCCCACGGCACCCACCAAAAAACCAACATTCATGCAAGCAAGGAATACTTTTTGCTTCTAGAAAGTCTGTCTTCATGGCTTTGAACTGTTTAAAAATCTGCCTGCATTAAAGAAACTAGCCAAAAAGCACAGGTAGTCCCTTGGTTGTGAATTAAATAGGTTCTATAGGTTTGTTCCTAAGTTGAATTTGTATGTAACTTAGAATAGGTACATTTACTTATTACCTTTAATAGCCTCTGGTCATAAGTCCAAGTTGTAACTCAGGGACTGACTATAACAGCCTCCATGGTATATAAGTTGGATGTTTGTAACTTGGGGACTGCCTGTAGATGTGTTTTTAGCAAGCATTTCATATCCCTGGGGAATGGGGATTAAAGCTAAATTTATTTCCAGATTTTAGCTGTCTGAAGTCATGAAGTTGCTCTGATGATGTGGTTGAGGAATGAAGAGAGGAAGGTGACAATGAGAACTCCTTCCAGATTTATGGCGCATTAAAATTTATACACTGCTGTACACCACGGACCTGAGTATCTACCCGGCCAGAACACATAAGACCAGCCCACACTACCCAGATGTTAAAGACACTTGCAAAACGAACTCTTCAGAGCCAGGATCTTTCCTCATCTTTTCAGATGTTAAAGGGCACAGAAGGTGGGAAATGTTCAGCCCTGGATATCCCCGTATCTAACATTGTCATTCTCTGTAAGACGACATATAGCCAGCTCCAGTTGGCACGGTTGGACAGGAGCTCCTCCCACAACACCTAAGGCTGTGGCCTTGGTGGGAGGCCAGCCAAAGAGCATGTATTCTGACTTTAAAGTAAGTTCACATTTATGGAAGTGATACTGACAAGAAAGATGAAATGTACAAACGTTCTTTGGGGTTTACTTGTTCC